CGCAGGTTCGAGTCCCGATGAAGTCTTTAGATTTTTCAGTTGAACTAATCTTTCCAGCTGCACTATGGCCTTGTTGTGTGACTCAGCCTCTAACAGAAATGAGTAGCAGGAATCTTTCTGGGGATAAAGGGCGGCCGACGCGTAAGCCCGAGAACTTCGCCGCCATCTGTGAGCCGACTGTCTAGAAAATGTGGGAGCCTCGACGTCTCATAACCCTATGGGCCTCCATGGTCCGTTACAGGGCTAGCTCTTCACTTCTTACAATAAGGATATTGTAATACAAATACTGTTTCCGAAAACACACAGCACGTTGTGACGGGTTTCGTCATGATTATGTGACGAAACTGCGCAGGCGCTGTCACAATCAGAAGCCCATAAATCAAACCCAAGAAATGTTAATTCATGTGTTACTTCCTTTCGGTTGTAAAACATAAATTGCAGACGCAGTTATCCTTCTATATGGATAAACACCTTTTGAAACCTGAGGTTTATCATTTGTTTAGGTTACCATAGCAAAGAAATGTCGAGCGTTAAGAGGCTGTATGAAAATAGTCATGAAGTCTATCATGAACGAGCGATTACACTTTTACTTTGATATATCCTGTCTATTCTATAAAACTTGATATTATTTTGAAGTACATAGATAACGTAGAGTAACATGGTTTACGATTGGTTATTCATGCATGTTATTAGTGGGAGCTACCGCTAAACCTCAGTCTAAATGCATAATAAAAGTAAAGAAAAGTATAGGTATCCCTATAGTAGGAAGTAGAGGCCCATAGGTTTGTGAGACGTCGAGGCTCCCACATATTCTAGACACTCGGCTCACAGATGGCGGTGAGATTGTCAGCCTTACGCCCCGGCCGGCTTTTACCCTCAGGAAGATTCCTGGTACTCATTTCTATTAGAGGCTGAATCGACCCCAGTGCCATAGTGCGGCTGGAAGTATTAGGTCAACTGAAAAATCCAATGGCCTCATCAGGAATCGAACCCGCGACCTTCGGGCTTGTAGCACAGTGCCTCAACCAACTACGCTACCGCGTGGCCCCAGCATGAATGAATAATTCGATATGATATAGGAATGGAATACGGGAGAAAGCAGTGGGAAGCTAATGACGGGATTTCCCGTTGAATTCTCAGTGGATGTTACATCATCGCTCTATAATATACCTCATTTTGTGGGGTACATAACTTTTTTTTCCTTGGCACTACAGCCCCAGTGGGCCTAGGCTTACCTCCATGAACTTCTCCGTTAACTTCGGCTTTTCTAGATCTTACACATTCGGTAGGACTCCTTGGGTGGGTGATCAGCTCGTCGCAAGGCCTCTACCTGTACACAAACTCAGAAAAACGCACACACACAAACTAAACATCCATGCCCAGAGTGGAATTCAAACCCACGATCCCGGTCTCCAAGCGAGCGAAGACAGTGCATGCCTTAGACCGCTCGGCTACCGTGACCGGCGAGTACATAACTTACATCTTCATAAACTGTAACTTAGAGATCACACAAAAAAATACTGAAAGAATTGCTGAACAACAATCAGTGTTTATACTCGGCCTCAGAGGGAGGGAAGAATGGTGACGCACTGTAACTAAACCCCTTTTATAATCCGTATTCACCCTAAAATTCTCACTCATGTAGTAGATTAGAACAAATTCACTGAGCGTTATGTTGAGAACGGGCGGAACCCAACACACGGACAGTACTTGCCTGAGGAAAGCCACGAGTTCCGTCCCAAGGCTTGGGTCAGCACAAGCAGTTGAGCAGTAAGTGTCGAACCATCTTTCTCTCGTTCCCTCCTTTAACTCTCCTTTCCTTCTGTCTTCCTTAGTACCTTTGCTTTGTTTTCCTCTTAACTATTAAATCCACTGTCACTCATTTTGTCTTTATTTCTCATCCTACATGTTTACCGGTCTTTTCGCTTTCCAATTACAACATCCAGTGATAAAGGAATACACGTTTCAAGGAATTGTTTTAAATAAAGGATTTTCATTAAAATAATAGTTGACAGAACCACCTGCCAGTGGAATTGGTAGTCTTACTACCAGCAAAGTATGCATGCTTACTAAAACTCTCACGCAGCACCATTACAATTTCGTTGCATGGAGATATTTATTCCCTGTATATTTATTATTGTCTTCATCATTTCCTGTCTTTTTTAGTTCAACCTCTGTTTGGTTCTTCTTTCTTTCTGTCTAGCGTAATATCCAAATGCGGTAATTTCGATGTGTGTACGAAAAAATATACCACGTATTACAGTGACTCTTGAGGGGGGAGGGGGGTTGGATTAGACATTGGCTTTATAGGCCACTTTAACCCATGACTCGTAACTACTTAATTATGACACCATCGCAAAAAAAAAAAATTTCAGTCTGATTTCACTGGTCGTTTCCCGGTAACGGATCTTAACAAAAGAGATTCTTCAACTGTACGGACAAAAGTCTTCTGACAGATTTCATTACAACCGACAACTCACAATTCAAAGTCAGAGTTATTTTATGACTGGAGGTTTACCGCCAATCAGTTCTTCTTGGCGACAAGCCCCTTGAGACTCATGTCCAGAATATTTACTTTCCATCTGATCACTTGCTGTTATATTCCTTATGTAGCATCCTCTCTGACGAGAGGATGGGTCTGTCGTTTACAATTGCTGCTAGTACTCGCCAGCGCAGTCATTCTCGTATCCGAGTCCCGTGGGATTCATGACCACATTTTACTGTCTCAGTTTCGAGACTTCCCCAACCTGGAAGACCAGGGCCCGTATTTATATCCCCCAGGAACAGGGTGGCCCAGTTATACCCCTAGGCATTGGGTTCCATTTCGTCGCCCCCTACGACTCGTAGGGCTACGGTGGAGGTATTCGACTCCGCCTCCACACGAGAGTCAACTGAAATCTTCTAAACTTGTCTCGGTTATATCATGTCGACACGGACCGCATAGAAAACACCTTCCATTTTTACACTCCAGAAGTTTCCGTGGGAACGTATTTGTCTGCGAAGGCATTACCCACTAGCGGCTGCGTATACTTGCTTATTAAGAATCAGACGCGTAGCAGCGACTGTTGTTTCGTTGTTTGTCTCGAGAACGTTAGCCAGTAACGGTTTTCCGAACGAACGAACTTCATGGCCTGTAGTCCTCAAGCGAACTATACCGACCGAGCGACCCCCGCTTGTCGGCGAAGTTAGTGCCAACTTTAGCGGATAGAGGGTGTCACGTAGTCAGCCCAACGGATCCCCGCGACCGTTAATCTCGATTTTCTAGACCGGAGCCGCTATTTCCTTGAAATAGCTCCTCATTTATCCTCACGAGGCTGAGTGGACCCCATTCCAGACCCACTACTTCTCAGAAAAACTGGTAGCGCCGGGAATCGAACCCGGTACCTCTGGATCTGTAACCAGGAACTCTGGCAACTATACCTCAGAGGCGGTCTACACGCTACATTAATGTAAGTCATGTACTGAGTTATGCGATTTGAGGTTATGTTTGCGGGTGACTAAGAATGTCAAGCCAATGGGGCATGTGAGGTCAAGTTAGAGACGTCCGGGATGTGAAACCCTGCATTACAGATTTCTACCAAATTTTCGCAGAAAAATGTTGCCTAATTTTCACGTAGAAACGCATTCCTCCGAAACGTCATACAGATCTAACACGCGACACGGCGTCACATACCAGAATTACTTATCTTTACATGCAACATCAGTTTTAATAGCTCATACATCACTAAAATGGGAGAATGAGCTTGGAAACAGGATCGCTTTAAAATAATTTTGAATTACTGTTTCTACACTGCACTGTTTTTCGTAAAGCTACAGAACAGTCAAGGACGATACAAGAAGTCTGCTGTACGCATGCGTAAAGAGGTCGATTGCACGCGCGTGGGTAAGTAGTTATGTCCTACCTGTTGGTTCTGGTCCACAGAGGGGGATTCTGGGGAGGGGGTTGCGTATCCTAGCAACGAACGAACACAGAGAGCCTTGTCCATATTTCAGCTCTCTCTACGCCCAGTGACGTGATGAACAGAGACAGGGAAGGTACGTGAAACTTCCTCTACTGATGCTAGCATCAACGTGAAATTGTGGTGTTTTTACTGAAATACAGAGTGTACCTTCTTGCTCACGAAGTTCTGTTGCTTAAGCTTTAATATGGAGAATTTTTGAAGCAATTGTGTTTTGAAAATGTAGTGTACAGTTTTAATAATTCGATACATTTTATTGTGAGAGAAAATGTATAGTGAATTATGGGATATGAGTACTGTCTCAGAATTTATGTAGCCTTTAGAAAGAGAAAGTATTACAAATTTTCTAAAATAACTATTAAATGTGAGTTAATCTTTGAACACAAAGCACGAACTATATTTTACGTCAACACGTTTTTATTACGGGACTATAATCATAGACCCTTTAAAGTATGAACGAAAAAATTGTTATGAGAAATTACTTTAATACAAAATAGATATCCAATAGATAAAATGTATGCTCGGGAAAGTAAATTAATAAAGTATTGATATAAATTATTATAGGTAAGGTACATATATATAGCTGTTTTTTTTCTTAAGTGTCTATTTTTTTCTGAAATTAATTAAAAGTAAAATTCAAGATATTTATAATTAATTTAATCGCAAAAAAATTGAAATTCAGAGTCTAATTTATTCCTTAATAAACAAAACAAAAATGGCCAGGGATATCACATTTAAATTTTAAAATATTGCTTCATAAATTTTCTTATAAAATATAATGATTAGTCTATTTAAAATATGATTTTTGTATATATATATACTGTATAAAAATACATACTACCTTTATTAAAATACGTTTTAATGTACTCGTAAATAACATAATAACAAAAGAGTGACTGAAACTAAAATCATATTATTAAATTAAATTAAAGATATTTGTGTATGTATGCGATAAGTCCGGCTTTTCTAACGTTGTGCTGTGCAAGTTTCTGATATCCGCTTACTTAACTCACCGCCTTCTACAGCCCGTGATTGGTGCTATACAAACTGTGATGGTTGCGAGTTAAGGGTAACGAGACGCGTGGGTACAATCTGAAACCTTTCACAGCGTCCGTGGCGGCAATTACACGAACTAAACAACGTTAACAATGGAAACTACAAACAAATGAACATCACCACATCAAATACGTGTTAAACTCATATTTGACGTGAATGGTAAGTAAAGTGTCATGCAATTTAGTACATAAATACTAGCACAAAATTATGGTAATTTTGCAATAAACAATTAAATATCATACCTGATATATTCACTATGAATACACTATTTCAAAGTACCAACTTATGTAGAAATATGGAAATATTATACAAAATGAAAAGTCTGTAAGTGGTAAGACTATTATTCATGAATTAGAGGTCAAATCTTCATTGACCAAGATGTTTCATTCATTCATTCATTCACGCACCAATGGTTCTACAGCCCTTTGTTAGGCCCTGGCCTCTTCTTCAGTTTCGTAATCTTTTTTTTTACATAGACGGTAGGATTCCTTGGACGGGGGATCAGCCCGTCGCAAAGGCCTCTACCTACACACAGGATAACACAAACACAGAATAAACGCACACAGACATCGATGCTTTGAGTGGGATTCGAGCTCATGATCCCAGCGTTCGAGAGTGCGAAGACAGGATAAAAATATTTTAACAAACTAATCCTAAGGAGAATAATCCATAGATCCCTAAAATGCTTAAGAAATTTTCATAATGTTTTATGGAACCAGAAAGTCTATTACTATGTTTCAAGAGCTCGTCATTTTTTTCCTATTATGAGCCAACTAAATCTAGCCTATAGTTTCACATCATATGCTTTTATGATCCATATTCATGTTATCCTCCCATCTACTGCTAGGTCTTCCAAGTGATATCTTCCCTTCAAGTTTTCCATTTATAATTTTATATATACATCTCACATATTTTCCGTTTGTGTTACAATCCCCGTTCATCTTCTCCTTTTGAAATATTTGAATTACAGATATAAATGTAGAACTTGTTGGACTGACCCTCTATAGTCGATCAGCATGAAGAACACTATCTTCCAGTATGTTAGGCTATTTTATCCAGTAGAATTTTACCTACGTTTAACTACGCTTCCATCTTCAGTTTAGAGTAGTAAGTCGAACAGGCAACTACAAAGATGGAAGCAGCAATCACAGCAATGTAATCATAGAAAATTTGCATAACAACGCGCGCGGCACGGACCACAGAAAACACCACTCTTCTATTGTTGCGCGCTTACGCTTCCGCGGGAATGTGTTTAACTAGCAGTTGCCTAGGAACGAACTATTCTGGCTTCCAGGAGTCATCTCACATTATAGAGTGTGCTGAATATATGCAACATATATGGAATTTAAGAATATATATGAAATGTTTTTTTTTTGGAATGAAGAACCAAGTATCGTTTCCTAGCAGCAGTAGATTTTCTGTCAAAAAAATTATAATTTTTCGCATCCAAATACTTCAGAAGTTTAGGTTTCCGGAGCTTGAAGCTGTTCTTCACTTCCGTTTACAGCTGTGGTTAGAAATGAATTACCGTATTTACGCATGTATAGGCCGCGTGGGTGTATAGGCCGCAGCACAATTTTCAGACAGAAATTACAGAAAAAATAATTTTCTTGGGATATTATTTCAGGAGTAGAACACCCTGTATTACTAATTATGAATATAATTTTTTTTAATGAAGTGTGACTTCGAATATTTCGAATATAAGCCGCACCCCAGTTTTCCTCTTGAATTTTTGGCAAAAAATGTGCGGCCTATACATGCGTAAATACGGTAATCCTTTTCTTTTATAAAGAGACAAATTTACATTTCTGTTCTTCAGTCGCTTACGTTTTTTCTTCAATTCTCAAATGAAATTTCCCTCCCCACACTAATGTGTTCTCATAATTCGAGCGTTCCTAGAATGCATTGTTGAAAATGGAGCCATCTTTCGGTACACAGCGATAACTCCTTTGTCACCATGGCAACCAATATTACGCACGTCCTGCACGTCCTGATTCTCTAAGTTTAAAACACGAGAGACATCAATTGTGACCTGAACCAAACGAGAGAAAAATACCCAGAGCCCGACAATGTGTATCAGATATTTAGTGACTGAAATGTTACGGATACGAACAGGAACATTTGTATTTTTCTCATCTTCCTCGTCACAGTCATAGTGCCTATCATACTAAGAACGATAGCGGATAAGAAGCATAATATTCGAGACACACATAAATATCATCAGTTCAGGGATAGCTCAGTCGGTATAGCGTGTTGCATGGCCGGGGATTCTTTCGTGGCAAGTAAAACTGAGCGCTAAACTCTATCTAGTGCAGAAGTCAATAGCTATACCTCCACTTCATCATACGCCTTCATGGCGTAGCGCTTAATTAATTAAGAACAGGGACAACTTTAGTTTACTTTTGCTTACTTTCCTATGAACAACAATTAGGCTTATGAAATCATATCGTTTGACTGTATTTTTGTGTGCTCAGTTTCGATTTTTGAACCAGGTGATCGATCTTCACGAAACTTGGTATGAACATTGGTTCATTTAAAGCCATCATAATGTCATAATTTTCATGTCTCCACGATCAGTAATAATAATTTGGTCTAAGTGCAAACATGTGTGGTGGGGAACTTATAGCATCATTTCCTTTAAGAACAAGATTACTAATGAAGAAAGCAGTCTTCTGGGATTTGGCACCGTGTATATGTGGTGTTAACCGACGTTTCGGAGGAACGTATCGCCCCCATCTTCAGGGTAGAAGAAAAAGTATAAGAATTCTGCAAGCGACAACACCGTGAGAAACGGTAAAGCAGACTAGTCTGCTTACCCTGAAGATGGGGGCGATACGTTCCTCCGAAACGTCGGTTAACACCACATATACACGGTGCCAAATCCCAGAATACTGCTTTCTTCATAGTCACCGCCGTGAAAGCCTCAAATCTTACAAGATTACTAATTTTCATGCCTGCTTGCCTTGTTTAGTTGTTTGTTTGTTTGTTTGTTTGTTTGTTTTCTTGTCCTAAATAGAAAACATCATGAAAGTAACCAAAAAATATAAGAATCTAGGTGGCAAAACCTGGAATTTTTTTATGGTTGTAGAGTGTTTAAAATGTGTAACTGTTTTTAAAACAATTTTTCATAGAAGTCTGTAACAGTATGGCGGTCGTGCATGAATTATATTTCTCCTTCTGTTTGATGGTTATAACCAAAAAATTTTTGGAAGTAGGTACGTGAAATTTCGGTACAGAGATAGGCCATAAACAAAGTTACATTGTTCTTAATAATTCAACGATCATAAACCCAGCGTTAATGATAAACTTTGAGGTTATATCAGACAAATTTTACGTATACACAATGACATGACTGCTCTATACTGAGTTCGTTATATGAGCTATGTACATAATAATACATGCAATACCGAAGTCGACGTTTAGAAACGGTGAAAAAGAACGCGAACTGGTCTGTTTGAAGCTAAAATACCTTCTTGTTAAATATGAATGAAGATAAACTTGCCTGCAAAGATACAAAATGTGTGTCCCTACAGGAAACTTTTTAAAAATTTAGATGCATTCTTTACTGGTGTCAAGTGTATGACCTTTGTTACTTGGGTTTCTCCATCTCTTGGGGCATCCGATCCCCTGCTTTGTTTCGCTACACAGAAGAAAACCGAGTTTATGTGTTTGCGTCTCTTGTGTTTTTTAAAAGAACTCTAGTGTATAATGTACCTTTCAATACAGAAGCCGTTTTTCTCCCGTCTGCTGTTCTCTGTGGGCATGAAATTATGTAAAGATTGAGTGAAATATTGATAGCATCATAGACTCTTGTTCCGGAGGTGTTCTGTTCGAATCTAGGCAAGAATATCGGAAATTCTGGTGACTTTCCTGATTTTCCACAGTCCTTCCAGGATAATTCCGGGACTGTACCTCCGCTAAAGTACCAGTCGGTTAATGCTGTTTAGGGAAACAGTCGCTGTTTATTGTGAGAACCATACGGAACACACAGATACACTGTGTGAGCAGAATATATAACAATTCAGTCCGTACCTCACAGCAAACACATTACGTCTCCGCTACAAAGCCCAACCGGTTAATGCTGTTTAGGGAAACAGTCGCTGTCTACTGTGAGAACCGTACGGAACACACACATACACCGTGGGCAGAATATATAGCAATCCAGGCCGTACCTCACGGGAAACACATTACACCTCCGCTAAAGGAACAGTTGCCGGTCACGGTAGCCGAGAGGTCTAAGGCATGTACTGTCTCGCTCGCTTGGAAACCGGGATCGTTGGTTCGAAGCCCACTCAGGGCATGGATGTTTAGTTTGTATGTGTGCGTTTTTCTGTGTTTGTGTACAGGTAGAGGCCTTACGACGAGCTGATCACCCGCCCAAGGAGTCCTACCGTATGTGTAGGATCTAGAAAAACCGAAGTGAACGGAGAAGTTCATGGAGGTAGGTCTAGACCCACTGGGGCTGTAGTGCCAAGGGGGGGGAAAAAAGGAACAGTTGGTTAGTGCTATTAAAGGGAAACATACAAAGAAAATCTGTGAGTAGAATATAGGATTTTAGTGTCTTAAAGCTGGTGGTGCGCATTGTAACCACTAGGGCTTATAGGATCAATGTGGGTGCTAGTTATTCTATAAAAATTGTAGCCGCTATATATTGCGAGAGCAGAAAAGGAAGCATATATGTCTGAATTGTCCCTCGTATTTAAACTGTTTACAGAGCTAACGCTATATTAGAACAATCAAAATGCATCATCAAAGCACAAAATTCGGGCACTGGACACGATCCTTAGCTAATTAGATCCATTTAAAATTCTGATAACATATTTCCCTAAGATACATCTTAATATTATCCCCAAATTACCTAGTCGCTCTTTCAAAATGGAACATTTCCTAGAGTTTTCCATCATAAAACCCTATTCCTTGTGACGTCACCATAGACATTCCATTTATCCATAAGAATATTTAAGAAATATTAGAGAGGCAATGTGGCACTGTTCAGATATTTGGGAACAACGACAACAGATCGAAACCTGATTCAGGAGGAAATTAAGAGGAGACAGAACTCGGGTAATGCTTGCTACCACTGAATCCAGAACCTTTTGTCTTCTCGTCTGATGTCTAGAAACATTAAAAAATAGAATATACAAAACTATAATTTTGCC